AGAGTTCTCTAGGAACTGCATACAAAGTTCAGCAAGTGGGGCACTCAAACTGGAACCCATTGGAGTGCCAAATTTTTGTTTAAAAAAACAGTCGTTGAACGAAAAATAAGTATTGGAAATAATGAATTTAATACATTTAAGGAACCAAGAAAAATTGAATTCTGTGTGTTTACTTATATCAACCCATTTATGGTCTATGGCAGAAAGAATAAGGTCAGGTGAAATGTTAGTAAAGAGGGAAACCACATCTAAACTTATAAAGGAAAAATCAGATGGTACAATGAGGGAGTTAAGATTGGGAATGAGCTCGAAAGAATTTTTTACAAAATGTGGAGAATCATGAGTGATATTGGATAAAATTGAACTAATGAATTTGGATAATTTGCAAAGAGGGGAATTTAAGTCAGCAACTATTGGTCGAAGAGGAAAACCGTCTTTGTGGATTTTGGGAAGACAATAAAGTTTTGGGGAAATGGGATTGTAGGTTTTTAATTGTAGAGAGAGAGGTTTGGGAATTTGCTTGTTTTCTATAAGTGAATCAATGAATTTCAAAGTATTCCGATTTATAAGGTCGGTGGGGTCTGAATTTAAAGGTTCGTAAATGTTTGTATCAGCTAGGAGGGTCATGGATTTGGAAATATAGTCAACTTTGTTCATGATAACTGTGATGTTACCCTTGTCTGCCCTGGTAACAACAATTTCTGGGTGTTGTTTGATAAAGGATTTGCAAAAGTGGATGTCCTTGAGTAATTCTTTATGTTGATGAATGTTAGAAATATCGAATTTGAAAAAAGAATTAAGTTGATTGCAAAAAATAGATTTAATGCGGTTTTTTTCATTGATATCTTTTAAATTACGTAAACTATATTCTAAAGAGCTAAGTGTTTTGACAAAATTAAACGATTTTTTCTGTTGTGGAATGGAAAATTTAGGACCTAGTGCTAAAATGTTCAAAACATTGGGTGGGATTTCTAAATCGGAAATGTTTTTTACCCATTTATTGATGATATCAGGGTTTATATTTATTTTGGATTCGTTTGTCTTTTTCGAATAAAGGTTGTTGAATTTTTTTATAAAGGATTTTTTTGACATATTAAAAGCATTATTGAATCTAGAGTTTTCAAAATCTAAAAAATTGTTAATGTCAAAATGGTTATTAAAAGTGGAAAATAAGGATTGGATGTTATAATTTAAAGATTGATTTTTACTTCGTTGTCGCAAAGAAAAACTTCTACCAAAATCTTTTGATTCAAATTAACAAACTTTGATCATCTAAATTCCAATTATTTTAAAAATAAAAAGCTTTCCTTCTCTTTTATGTTGCTGAATCTAGAAATCAAACATTGCATTACTTCTATTGCTAACAAAATAAATCTTTAAATTATAACATCCAATCCTTATTTTCCACTTTTAATAACCATTTTGACATTAACAATTTTTTAGATTTTGAAAACTCTAGATTCAATAATGCTTTTAATATGTCAAAAAAATCCTTTATAAAAAAATTCAACAACCTTTATTCGAAAAAGACAAACGAATCCAAAATAAATATAAACCCTGATATCATCAATAAATGGGTAAAAAACATTTCCGATTTAGAAATCCCACCCAATGTTTTGAACATTTTAGCACTAGGTCCTAAATTTTCCATTCCACAACAGAAAAAATCGTTTAATTTTGTCAAAACACTTAGCTCTTTAGAATATAGTTTACGTAATTTAAAAGATATCAATGAAAAAAACCGCATTAAATCTATTTTTTGCAATCAACTTAATTCTTTTTTCAAATTCGATATTTCTAACATTCATCAACATAAAGAATTACTCAAGGACATCCACTTTTGCAAATCCTTTATCAAACAACACCCAGAAATTGTTGTTACCAGGGCAGACAAGGGTAACATCACAGTTATCATGAACAAAGTTGACTATATTTCCAAATCCATGACCCTCCTAGCTGATACAAACATTTACGAACCTTTAAATTCAGACCCCACCGACCTTATAAATCGGAATACTTTGAAATTCATTGATTCACTTATAGAAAACAAGCAAATTCCCAAACCTCTCTCTCTACAATTAAAAACCTACAATCCCATTTCCCCAAAACTTTATTGTCTTCCCAAAATCCACAAAGACGGTTTTCCTCTTCGACCAATAGTTGCTGACTTAAATTCCCCTCTTTGCAAATTATCCAAATTCATTAGTTCAATTTTATCCAATATCACTCATGATTCTCCACATTTTGTAAAAAATTCTTTTGAGCTCATTCCCAATCTTAACTCCCTCATTGTACCATCTGATTTTTCCTTTATAAGTTTAGATGTGGTTTCCCTCTTTACTAACATTTCACCTGACCTTATTCTTTCTGCCATAGACCATAAATGGGTTGATATAAGTAAACACACAGAATTCAATTTTTCTTGGTTCCTTAAATGTATTAAATTCATTATTTCCAATACTTATTTTTCGTTCAACGACTGTTTTTTTAAACAAAAATTTGGCACTCCAATGGGTTCCAGTTTGAGTGCCCCACTTGCTGAACTTTGTATGCAGTTCCTAGAGAACTCTACACTTAATACCTTGTCTTATGTACCTCTTTTTTACAAACGTTACGTTGATGACATTTTAACTTGCATTCCTACTTATAACATAACCAATTTCCTAAACTCTTTTAATAATTTCGACACACACCTTTGTTTTACCTTAGAGACCCAACTCAACAACTCCATTAATTTTTTAGATATTACCCTTTTTATAAATAACGGCTCCATCACTACATGTTGGTATCAAAAATCCACTTGGTCTGGACGTTATTTAAACTACCATTCCTATCACCCCAAATCGACTAAGATTGCATCTATCATCAACTTACTAGACCATGCCATCCTTCTTTCTCATCCATCACATTGGGAAAAAAATATCAATTTGATATATTCTACCCTTCAAAATAATTCCTATCCACTACAACTTTTACGCTCAGTAATTAATAATAGATTACCTTTTCTTCGTAATAAATTCCGTACATCTTCCTCATTTACCTCCCATTCACAACAAAATAACATCACTTCAAAAACCCTTAACCCTGTTCCTGATAATTCACTATCTCTCAATTCCTTCATCTCATTACCGTACATCGATTGCCTTTTCCACTCATGGAAAAAACTTTTTTCATCCGTTGGTCTGAAACTAGTGTGTTCGACTGGACACACTCTCACAGACTTATACACTAATTTAAAAACTCCTACCCCTATTTCCCGCACGTCAAACGTTGTATATGTCATTGATTGTAATGATTGTTCAAGTTGTTATGTTGGAGAAACTTCACAATTTCTCTCAAAAAGAATGCGCCAACACGAACTTAACAGTCTTAACAGGAAACAAAATAAAACCATGATCACCGAACATGTCTCCAACTTTAAACATTCTTTTAATTTCACCAATCCAAGAATTATTCATCGAGAAGCCAACACTTTACGCAGGAAGTTTGCTGAGAGTATTTTTATACAAATATTACCTACTATTAACAAACGTTTTGATTCGGCTTCTCTTTGCAATATTTACCGCGATGCTTCGAACAATTTTTTCAATATGCGCAATACTTCGTAACAATTCTTTTATGTAATTGTATGTATATATGTATATATGCGTATTTTTATGTATGTGTATATGTACATATATACATATTTATGTTTGTGGATATACATGTATGGGCATATATGTTGCATTTGTGTGTATATTTGGATTTTACATAGATGTTGTAATTGCATGTTTGCATGTGGTTGTTTATGTTAGTTATGTTTTGTGTATGTGTATGCAATTGTTACAATTATTGTGTTGCGTTATATATACATATATATGTTGTTTTTTAATTATTAATAACTTGTTTTTTTAACTTTTATCTTTTTCAGTTAATATTTATACTTTTTCTTAATATAATTCTCTATTTCACAATTTTTTACATTGTTCTGTCTTGGTTTTATTATGTTTCTATATTTTTATTTTGATCCACATTTTTCATTGTGATCCAACTTTGTTCAACCGTCTGATTATGGATGACTTACATATTTAAAAAAAATTTCTATGTTCCTTGCGCATGATCGCTGGAAAATTCTTCATAACTGTAACCCTTAAAATTCTCTCTATCCCGTTCTCTCATCCAATGACGATACAGTTTCCACTATTTTCCGCTGCAAACACGTAGGCCCGCATTTTACTCTCGTTTACACATACGTAATTCTGTCTCCAAACTAACAAGATGTGTTTTTGGAATAACCTTTTTTACAATAAAACATATTATTTATTTTAATTTTTACAACTTTCATAACTTGATGTTTTTTCAATTTTTTATTTCATACTTATTTTTTCGTTTACATTTTTGTGTTGTTCTTTGTGTTATATTTTTTTAAAAAATTTAATTGTATGGTGAGTTTCTTTACATATGTTTATTTTATGTTGTTTTTCATATATACTTTTCATATACATTGTATCTACTTATTTTTGTCTGTAATTATGTATCTTTTATATTATTTTTTTATATTGTTTTAATTTGTAACCCTGATATATTTATCTGTAGCACTGAAGATGGGTCAAATCTGGACCCGAAACGTATGTTCTCTTAATTAAAACATTTTGCATTAAAACTGTTTTTTTAATTATTGGATGGATGCCCAAGAAACAATTTTTATCATATTATTTCACCATCTGAAGAAAAACCTCTCGCTTTATATATATATATATATATATATATATATATATATATATAAAATTGTTCTTGGGCGTAAATCCATTAATTAAAACTATTTTATTGAAGTAAAATGTTTTATTATCAAACGTTTCGGGTCCTGATTTAACTCATCTTCAGTGCATATAAATAATTTGAAGAAAAAAACAAAAAACACGGAAATAGAAATCGAAATTATATATATATATATATATATATATATATATATATATATATATATACATATATGTTTAAGTTAAGTAGAATTAGTTCCTTACTTCTTTAATGGCATATCACTATATTTCTCAGCGGCATTCAAATATATTTTTATATTGCAATTTAAAATTTTCCGTAAAGTATTTAGGATAGGGCCTAATTTTTGTGCGCCATGGGAAACTGGATCCACGATAGCCCACAATTCCATCGCAATATTTTCATTATCCTTCGCTGGAATCTAATAATAATAAATACAAAAATATTTTAATATTCAACGAAATAAAATCTTTACAATTTATAAATTCTTTATAAGCAAGAGGAATATCGTTTTGCATCTGCGTATTATTCTTAAAACCCTTCACTCAATATTTAAACTATAGAGTAGGGCGAGGCACAAAGATTCAATATGACTTTGAGCAATTAATTATATTGTGGAAACCAAACCAATTATATCATAATACATAACACATATTAAACAAACAACCATCTATGTTCAGTAAAAATCTAAGCTAATTCAACATTGCAGAAATGTGCTTTTTGCTGTTTTTTTAAAGACGAAGGGGCAAACAGATCTAATGTCTTACTTTTAATTTTAAAGGAATTTTACGAAATAATCATCAGCTTAGTTAATATCATTATTTATTTAACTTATTTATTGTAAAATTGTACTTTCCGTAGGATAAGTTATAGTAATTGCAAAAAAATCAAAAATGAAATTTTTTATATATCTTTACGTTTCAGAGGTTTCCGAAAATTTTGGCATACCTTAAAACAAATGAATGTATATGTGTGCGGATATAAATTTACGAATTAACCGATTTGAATAATTCAAAAAACATTTGATTCCTACTGATAAGGAGACGTGCTGATTAGTTTTTGGCAAAGGCAGGTCTAGCCGTTTTGGAGCTACGGAGCGAAAAATTCCAAAAATGGAATATCAGTTTTTGAGATAACGGAGCGTCCGATTCAAATAATTCAAAATACATTTTACGTGTAGTGACGAAATGAACAACTGGTGAAATTTTTGTAAAGATAGGTCCAGCGTCTCCGAAGATCCAATAAAAACGTGAAAAACAATGCCATTTGAAAATTTCAAAACTGAACATTAGACATATGCACATCGTATTATCTGATATTTTATGAAGAATATAAAAATTAGTATAAATTTTGTGTACATTTATATGGGTTCCGTACCAATGTTTACCTGTTAGACGACACGCGGCGCTCACGCGCTTAATATTTCGACTCTAAATCAGCTATGCAATGCGATTGCTTAAAAAATATGTTCAACATTTTTAAAATAAATCAAAATACAAAAAAAAATCAAATTTTTCAAGTCTTTTTTTTCAAAAATTTCAAAATTTCTCAAAATTATTATTTCAAAGTCTTGCAAAGATTTTTTTAATAATTCAGTTTTCGGTACGGGAAATTAATTTACTTTATATTTACTATTTTTTTATTTACTATGCCTTTCCAGGTTAAACGTTTTCACCGCACCCAGATGTAAATATTTATAAATGTTATAAGTATAATAAAATTGATAATTCTACCTCAAAAATAACAATACATTTTATAAAACGATTAAATAACTTATACCTCGTAGCCTAAAGAATAGGGCTCGCAAAAAAACTAATAACGATAGAAAACACATTATTATGGATTTTCAACCATTGTCGTTTATCTCTCGATTGCAATGTTGCAAGAATCAAGATCATGGCTTGGTATACATCTTCTGTTCTCTACTTTCAAATGTTGTTGTTAAAAATTCTTAACTTTACTTGTTTTTGAGATATTGGTTAATTGTGTAGCTATTTACTTACCTTAATCACACTGTGATGTTCTTTAACTTTGGGTATTTCAAAACGACTTTTAACTTGAGTCCTAGATCCAAGTAGTGATACGGTCTTCATAATAACATCATTAGTTAATCTACCATCTGCAAAATTTAGACACTTTATTCCAAATGTTAATGTTTTTCAACGTATGTAGGGTAAGTTATTGTAATCGTCCAAAAAACTAAATTGAAATTTTTTGCATTTCTTCCTGAAGGTTTCTGAACATTTTGTTCTTTGTGTGCGCAATTTTTCGTCAACGTTTTCGGGCGCACCAAGCAACCGATATGATTGATTCAAAGAACATCGATTCCATGATGAATAGATATTATAGAACAGCCCTCATGGATTTAATGGTTTATAAATATTCTTATGTATCATAATATTTGAGTGACGTGACAGATGGCGCACGAATTTACTTAATGTCACATGTTAGAAATGAATATATGAAACTAAATGTTTATATAAAGAACTAATACTATTGGAGAATCATTTTTTATTGATTTGGAAGCTTTTGCGCCCGTGAGAGCAAAGAAATTCGAAAATGTTCTTGTTAAGGACCACCCTAATATACATATATACATATATACATACAAACATACATATATATATACATATACGTGTTGAAAATTGAAGTCTTTTAAAAGTTATAACAAATTCAGAAAGAATTAATATATAGCATTCGTGGTATAGGTACAATATCACCTTGGATTTTTCTACCCAAAATAATTGCTTCAATAATGTTGCCAATAATTTTTATAATAACGTACCATATTTTAACTGGCTTTTAGTAATTTACGATCTAAATTATTTTTTTTTCACTAATACTTTATACATTATTACTTAAGTTTATATTTGAAGTGAATTAATTTATCAAATCCTGTTCACATGTGCTCTATTCAACCTACGATCAACAAAATTATTGCAGTAAATAGAGAGGAAAAAAGCGTGTGTTGGAAATAGGCGTTAAGTTCAAAAGTGAAAACAATTTGCACTTCGTCACCACCCACCGCATTAATAGAATTATAATTTTTTTAATTCTGATTTTATCAGTACTTGCAGAACACTATTTTAAAGGTAATTAAATGAGCTACAACTTTCTCTATCATAAATTTTACCGTAACTTCTCTTATTTTGAAATGGCAAAGGATTGAAGGACTCAAAAGACACTCTGGTTGGACACTATCAATATTTGTGTAACAGAAAAATAATAAAAAGCATCCATTGGTCAGTTAAAGACCTTAAATTTTCAATTATATACCCAGATTTTTTTTCATGAGATCATGAGCTTTTTGGAAATCGTTTGCACTAAAGTTATGGTATTTTCTAGAATCCGTCAAGATCTCTTAAACCAAGTTGATTCTAGAGGGAATACGATTATTTTTAATTTTGGTGAAAATGGCACTCAAAAGTTATTTGCTTTAAATGAAAAAAATATTGTATGCGTCTTTTATCTGCATGATAGCTCACTCATTACTCATTTTAAAGCTTATTTTGAGTACTATAAAATCCCGTTTTCATATCTAGCCTAATATTGTTCCTAGAACAATTTATAGAACACCGATTTATTAGGATTTTAATTGATATAATTTTGTTCATTACATGATTTTCGTTTAAATGTATATTTTCAGAAATATTTGCAAAAAACGATGAAAAACGCAAAAAAAACAACAAATTTTCAGTAGCCAGTAACTTGAAAAGTAATTTCTTTTTTGAAAAACATTATTAAACATTTTTCTCTTCTAATGGCATGTCATTCCCCCGGAAAGTGGCAAATGATTCTAAATTATTTTTACTTTTAAACTTGAGAGTAAGATGAACCTAATTCCAAAATTTCATGCAAGTTGGAGCACATTAAAAATATTCAGACCCAAAATGCTCCATTGTCTTGAGTAAATATTTCGTATCCAATGCCAAACGTATGAATTTTTGACACAATGAAACTTATAATAATTGTTTGAATAAGTAAATTATTTTTATGTCGTGATTTAGTAAAGTAAGGCAAAACACGACTGCATTTAAAAGAAAATAATAATCAGTCAAAGTGAATTATAGGCTAAGTTTGATGTGCGATCACTTACAGACGCATGCTCAGACTGCATCATCTGTCAGATGTTGACTGTAAATCTTATATTATTTTAATTTTTGGCACATCTCAGCTGCTTGTTGGCAATAATAATGTAGACATTACATTTTCCTTATTTATAATTATAAATTTATTATTTTTTAATATTGCCTTAGCCTATAAGTGAATAAAAATGTTTGGCGAATGACAGTCTTCATTAGTTTTAATGTCAAACCATACCTTAAATATTTTCAAGGGCAAACAATGATAAGCGGTTTTTTGTAATTTTTTCAATTTATTTCTACAATCTAACTATATTTATATGAATCTAAAAATTCTAGAAAATTTTCAAAAACAAACTTCAGGAAGATTCATGAAAATCCGAATTATAGTTTAGGAAGATTAACCATTCATACATAGTTTATGAAATTTTATATATCATATATAAAAATGGATCGCAAAATGTGTTGGTAAGCGCATAACTCAACAACGCCTGGACCAATTTGGACAATTCTTCTTTTAAAATGTTCGTTCATGTCCAAGGATGGTTCTTACGGCGAGAAAAAATCGAATAATTGCCGGGAAAAACCTTAAAAACAGCCCTTTTCTTTTTTAATCGAGTAGGAAACGAAATTTGTAGAAAAAACAATGATCTACGTCATGACATTTTGTGTAGTTTTTGATAATCTAATTTTTAATATATTTATATAAACATAGAAATATCTTTCTATTAATTAACGAGCTATATTGGCAGCCAAAACATTGATGTAAATAAATTAAATTTCAAAATTCAAGAACAAATTACAGGCGAATCAGTTGATTCGGCAACTAACCAAGACGATCCACCGGAGTTTTTAAACTCGCTGGATTTTGATAGGATTGTCACCTCACAATCTTCAATTAAAGGTTGGATCGGCAATTATAATGTTGCAAAATATTGACCAACCGCGCCTTTGCAACGGCACAAGGTTAGCGATAAAAAAACTATCAAACAATGTGATGGAAGCAACTATATTGAAAGGATTATACTACATTTACATATTATACTATATTTAAAGCAGAAGATGTTCTCGCACCGTGCATCCCAATGATTTCGACTGATGTGCCATTTGAGATTAAACGACTACAGTTTCCAGTGCGTTTATGGTATCATTAAGTGTTTGTGATATTATTTTGGTAAACCCATGTTTCTTACATGGAAAATTGTATGTTGTCTGCTCCCGTATTGGAAAACCATCAGATTTGTTTGTCTATGCGCCAGGTAATCAAACAAACAACATAGTTTATCACAAAGCACTACAATAAAATTTGAACTGATTTTTGAATTATGATTTACATGATTAAAATTACTTACTTTTAAATGCTTATAGTGTTTTATTTAATTATTTTTAATTCACACCGAATTATTACCAGGGTAACCTTTCTGTTCAGGATAATTTTTTGCAAAGAATAGAAAAAAGGTAGGAACAGAACACCGCCACATTACAATTTTTTTTGACAGGACGAAGTCTGTCGGGTCGGCTAGTAAGATATATGACAAATGTATTCTGAGTGGATAAATAGATATTAATTTGGAAATATGGACAAACAACACTCTTTTTTGCACTAATTTATTAAATAATAATTTTTACAAACGTTTCGAGAGACTAGGTTTGTCTCATCATCAGTGTGTTATAATTTAAAATTTAAAATATGGAAAACTTAATTAGCATTATGTGTTATCCGTTACAAGTCGTTCAATATACTGTCTTCTGCCGCACCAACGATCGTCGGAGCCCGAATTCTCTATTCAAGCTCAAGTGGTTAATCACGCAATCAAATAGGAAAGGAAGGATTAGGGCCCAGTTGAAAAATAGATGTCGTTAGGAGAAAAAATATTCTATAAAATAAGACGGTTCGTTTATAAAATTTGTTCTAAATTGTTATAATTAAAAATATATGTACATATATATATATATATATATATATATATATATATATATATATATATGTACATATAAATATTTGAGTGAATTCTTGAAGGTGATACATCAAACAAAGAAAAGGCAAAGATTTAAATAATCATTAATTCCAAATGTTTCGACATTCAATTAAATGTCATCATCAGTGGATCTAAAGTAGTGTAAAAGTTGTGGATCTAAAGCAGTATAAAAATTAATATAACTAGGTTCAATCCCATAAGCGCAAACCTGCGACATATGAAATTAATTATTGGGCATTGTTGACGAAAATTGCGAGCTAATTTAGTTGAAACACAACTTGTTAAAAAATATAAACAAATTGTAATCGGGATAATGAAAAATGGGGAGTCAAGTGCTTAAAAATTGGCATGTTTATTCCGAGAAATTGAATTGTAATTTTTGTTTTTGTTGCATATATATATATATATATATATATATATATATGATTTAGTAGTTAATTTTGATGTTGAAATATATGAGTGAGTTCTTGAGGGCGATACATCAAACAAAGAAAAGCCAAAGATTTATAAAATAATCTTTATTTCCAAACGTTTCGACATTCAATTTAATGTCATCATCAGTGGATATTACGTTGGTTAGTTCATATAGAGAAGTGTACACAGCACTAGAGATTTGGCACTAACATTTATACAACTAACTTGTCAGCACTATGCATTTTTTTATATAATTTTTTTGTATGATGTAAACAGAAAAATGATAGTTTTATTGAACAAAAATGTAAGTAGAATTATGTAATTTCTGCCACGACTTCTGTACTTTGCTAGTACCGATGCATGTATCCATGCCTCGGTACTAGCAAAGTACAGAAGTCGTGGCAGAAATTACATAATTCTACTTACATTTTTGTTCAATAAAACTATCATTTTTCTGTTTACATCATACAAAAAAATTATATAAAAAAATGCATAGTGCTGACAAGTTAGTTGTATAAATGTTAGTGCCAAATCTCTAGTGCTGTGTACACTTCTCTATATGTAACTAACCAACGTAATATCCACTGATGATGACATTAAATTGAATGTCGAAACGTTTGGAAATAAAGATTATTTTATAAATC